ATTTTAAATATTATTTTAGAATAATTTCAAAATATTAATGTTAAATTTTAATATTTGATATTTAATATTTCAGTGAAAGAATTTACATTTTTAGATTTGTGGAACACACTGCTACATCTTCATCTACAATTGTCTGACAACCAGGAAAGTTGTGCCTAAAGGACACACTTGTGTGCCTTCCAGGAACAAAAATTTTGAGTCTGTGTTATTCCAACCAGGAGCAGGGTCACATCATATTTTATTAAGTAATTACACTGGATGCGCCATTTGCAAGACCTATTTTCTAGAAAGCAGACAGAAATGTATCCTGATCCTGTCTACATCCTCCTGAGTCATTAAAAGATAGGATCTCAACAAAAAATTAAAATTAATTCTGGATAGAATTTTTTTTGTCTCCTTATCTCTCAACTTCCAGAAATACCTGCAATACTGCTTAAGAGAAATGTTGAACCGTTTTGAGTGGTCCTTGCTCTTATTTTTTGAACAATTTTAGTAATCATCTTCATGCTGGAAAGAGACATAGTCTATATATTCTGCTCTAGGTTTGAAGAAAATGCTTGGCATTCTTTCTCAAAACCTGTACTGTCCATTTAGTCACAGTCAGTACAGCTGTTCCTTTTATTACCATCAGTTAGTAGTAACTACCAGTTACTGTTTTCTGCTAATTCAAATTATGTCAGACTTCTACACCCCCTGTAAAGTTTCAGATATTTAAGTGTTAATTTCAAGCACAAATACTATTTAAAAGAATTGGCTTTCCCTCTTGGCCAACATCCACAGTGACCTGGGCCACAGCTACCAGAGAGTAACTACTTTTGTAGTCACCTGTCTGCTTACCAAGTGTTCAGTGACACTCTCTTCCTGGTGACACTAACATAATTACAGCATTTTCTCCACCAACCATGCACACAGTCACCTAGGATTGCTTTTACAGGTCAGCCTCAAAAGAGTGCACATATTTCTTCTGACAGAGTAACTAGGAATATGTTGTTATACAGTAATGAGAAAGAAAAACTCAGAGCCATAATAACCTCAATCTCTTCCTCAAGTGTTAACATAAATATTAAAAAAAAAGAAAAAAAGAAAACATGGGATTAGTATCCTCCCTCTACACAGATCCTCTTGCATTGGTGCAAAGGAGGTCAATTGCTTCTGTAGTTCTCTTTTTGATGCAGTGAGAACTGGCAGCTATGAAAGAAACAAGAGATTTTCTCTGTACAACTTCAAAATACTGCTTTTATAGTAAGGATATCAACAGACCTCCTACACATTAATAAGCAGTTCTGAAGTGTCTCCAGATGAGTAATGCTAACAAGATCCTACACAGATGGAGAAGACCCTGTAATACCAGATAATGAATAATGCTGACCTCCCATATACCCTGGGGGATGCACAATACCTGGAAACTGAATGACTGCCAAATGCAGTGAACAACCCTTCCCCTCCTTGGAAAATCCCCATGACATTTACTTATAAAATCATTGACTTTGCACATATCCATGGGAAAAAAAAATAAATCTATGATTGTTCCACTGACAGTCAGCTTTAGAAAGCACTTTAAAGCATCCCTGGTATTTTATCTGCAAGCACGCTATGACATACAGTCTGTCCTGTTCACCTCTTTTAACTAAGAGCTAGTAGCCAAACATTCCCTTGCTGCTTGTAAACTCATGTCACGCACAAACCACTCAATTTAATTGTTGTAACGCCATACTTGTGTCTGCACAACATTTAACTTTTATTTTGACATCTCCCCTGCAGGGGAGATTTCTGGCAGTGCATTGCATCAAACTGAACTTCACCTAGCTCACACTGGTAGTGACCAACATCATGTAACCCAGAAAATACAAAGATCATAGCTGTGCTGGTTCTTAATAAGAAATGCTGTGGTTTATCCAGTTCCACAGATGAAATGAGATTGGAACAAGGTAAGGATAAAAGGCTGTTTTTGCTTTTCGGTGATTTTTTTTGTTTGTTTGGGTTTTGTTTTTAATCTAAAACACACTGAGTCAAGACAAACTCAGAAAAAGTCTTCTACTGAGGAGCAAAAATATAAGACAATAAATTGTACTTTTAAAAGAAAAGCTGGGACAATTCATAGACACAGATCCAGGTGTGAGCTTTCCTTTGCTTTGCAGGGACTTTGGCAACATTCTTTAGAATAATTTAAATGGCTTATGCTTATGCTGGTAGAAATCAATATCTTTTACCTTTAAGAGGAAATAAATACATATTCTAAAAGGAGTAGCACTGATCCATGACTTCTGTGCTACATCATTCGAAAGAACTTCCAACATTAATTTTCAAGCTCTAAGAGCTCTAAGTTCAATCTAGAACAGGAATGTAATTTTCTCCCCGATTCACCCAAACTTCAGATTACATAAAAAGGGATTCAATAAAACTTATGTCACAGCATCACTGAAATAATTCCACTAAGAATATTTTAATACCTCCATAGCTTGCTGTGTATTTCCACCTACTGCCATAAATGCAAGATACTGAGGATACCTAAGTCCAAGGCTGTCAGCAGCTTCATCAATCAGGCTGAAAAACATAAATTAGTAAACATGGTTTTCATTTCAAAGTAATAGTAACAACATGAGGGCTGGGTACATCAAATTACTGTACATCACCTGTTAACATCTGTATGGGTATAGTCTTACGAGGTGGTCATGTTGGCTTGACCTTGGCTGGCTGCCAGATACCCTCAAAGCTTCTCTCTCATTCCCCCACTTCAACTGGACAAGCACGTAAATAAGACTAAAAGCTCATGGGTTGCAATAAGGACAGGGAGATGACTCACCAATCACCATTATGGGCGAAATGGACTCAATTTCACTGAAAAGCTGAAGCAGATGATCTTTTGACATCCCTTTCAACCTAGGCTGTTCTGTGGGTTCATGAATTAACTGCCAGTAAAAATGGATTTGGGTGAAATAACAACAAAAAACCACAATGCCTTCCCCTTAGCCCTCCCTTTCTGCCCAGGCTCAACTTCACTCCTTCATTTCCAACTCCTCTAAGTCCCCCTACCCTAAGCAGTGCAGACGGACAGAGAATGGGCACTGTGGTCTGTCCATGGCAGTTCCTCTCTGATGCTCTCTCCTCTTCACACTGCTCCCCAGTGTGGGGTCCCTCCCCTGGTCTGCAGTCCTCCACCAACTGCTCTGGCATGGGCTCACCACAGGCACAGTTCTTTGAGCAAATATCTACAGGCTCCAGTGTGGTCTACTCTAGGGGCTACAGAGGAATCTCTCCTCCAGCACCTCCAGCACCTCCTCCCCCTTCTTACCTGACCTTGGTGCCTGCAGGGTTGTTCTTCTCACATCATCTTCACTCCTTTCTCTCACACTCTGCCGTGCACCATTTTTTTTACCCTTTCAAAAATACTTTCCCAGAGGCATTACCCTGCAGTAGGTCTGCTGGAGCTGGCTGGAACCAAGTGGCGTCTCCTCACAGAGGGTGCCCTATAGCCCCCCGGGCCAGAACCTGCTCACCATACAGTCGTACACCCAAAACAATATAGATTCAGAACAACTTGATAGGAGCTTTTACTGTTGGTCACTATAGAGTAAAAGGGCGTAGCAGGTACACCCAAACCAATATAGACTTCAGAACTACTTGATAGGAGCTTTTACTGTTGGTCACTCCAGAGTAAAAGGGCATAGAGTTCAGCTAATAAACTTTGTATGTATGCTATTAAGCTCATTTTACAACTAAGATTCAGATTTTGATAACATTCAAAATTATGATATATTAGGTAAAAAATGTGCTTTTTAAAGAGAAATAGAATTAGCTTGTAAGATCTAAGTTACCCCAGCCTCAAAAGAAGAAAAGACAAATTATAAAATATCATTGACTTGAGTGCAAATTGCATTCATATTGCTTTACTTTTGTTATATTTCCACAATATTTACCACCTTGCAAGCAAATTTAAAAAGTGCACACATCCCTTGAATATTTAGTGCACCAGAATCTTCTCAGATCACAGCCTGATTTACATCATTTTTCTCACACTGGAAGACACATAGCACTTGAAGTACTTTAAATCTTAAAACTCAGATTATCAGCCTCTTAAGCAAGTGCATACTGATAGCCATTGACATCTTACATAAACAGCAAAAAAAAGTAAATATGAAACCTCTGAAATTACTACGGAAAACTATCAAAGGCATACCTCCACTCCAGATCCATGCCTTCACTCATACTCGAGTCATCATCAGAGTTGTTATCGCCATCCCACATGAACAATACACATGATGAAGAATGCATAAGATCATTAACTGGAAGTTCTTCTTCATCGCTGCTACTTTCTGGTTCTTCCTGGGCTGTTGAACAAGGAACCTCTCCTTCTTCCACTGACCTTCATAAATCAAACGAATAAATGAAACACCTGTTCCCTCCATAAATGAAATGTCTGTTCCCTTCATAAATGAAATAAATGAAAAGGTAAAGGAGTATTTACAAACACATGAAAGGAACAAAACATATACAAACTCCCAGTGGTATCAGCTCAAGACCCATCATTCTATGGTAAAATTATTTGTCTAATGTGTAAGGCCAGCAAGACAGTAAGTAGCTTGCTTTTCATGTTCCCCAGTACGAGCACTATCACTGCCAAGACTAGTAAATTTGGTACTAAAGATTTTGTTATTAATCTACAAGTTCCTAAAGCCACTAAAAAGAAAGGCTCTCTTAACACCCTGGAACAGCCTTCACAGGGAAGCTTGGCCTGAATGCAAAGACATACTATTTGCAACACAAGTGATTTGCATGAGGAGGAAGACTCCTCTCATTCCTGGATTTTCTAGGGGAGTGCAAGTCATCCGGATGTTTAGAGTCAAAAGGCTGTGAGTCCCACTGTTCCTACCAAAGGGCAAACAAACAGGAATTATGTTAGAAATGGGTACATTTACAGGCTGTTCACATCAAAGAAAGGTAAAGAGTGCACAGCTCCATCACTGTTCTGAAACAGGTGAGTTTTTTGAATGTTTTCATAATGCCACACTAATTCTCCAAACCTCAAGAGACAGTAATACTAAAAAAGCAGTAAGAGCTATTTGGACTGCTTGGTAATAGGCAGTGTCTACCTGAGAGTGGAAGAAGCTGAAAGAACACTTAGGCATGGCTAGTTGCTTTATCAAGACCCAAACTACGTCTACAAGGTCAATATTAGATATTTAGAAAAACAACTTTCCTTGGCTATTTATAGCTACAATTTTTGCCTTGCAACAATGGCAGATATATTTTATAAAGTAAAGTACTGAATGACTGGCAAAATAAGTAAACTCCCAGCAAGCATGTAGCTCAAGTTTACTTTAATCACTGATAGGCAGCAGTGGAGTATGAGAAGCAATAAAGCAAAGAGATAAAAAACTGCTCTGTGGGAAGTATCAAGCAGTATCACAAGATGTGCATATAACACATATGTCTTTCCAATTAACTTGCCTAATCTGGCTTTTTAAAGTCAGTGTATTGAGCCCATTATGTCTATGGATGCTATATATCAATGCCCTCTCATTATTTCCATATCTTTCATAAAAAAGAATTGTTAACGTCATTTCTCCCTGATTTGAAATACACGCAACTATACAGATTATTCTGATGTAGGCAAATGACTATTGCTAGTATAGTAACTACTTCTAGAACTTATGTTACTCTGTAAAGTGTTACGTGGATACTATGCTACTGCTGATGTCAAAACTTACAGGAAGTTAGTTAATAAAATAAAACCATACCCTTCCTGGAAACAGAAATCTGGAGCCTCATTTTCTTTATCACTGCTGGTGCTCTGTGCTTTCGGCATGACAGGGACAATTGGCCAGCTTTCATTATTTGAGAGCTGGTCTCTTTTTGTCACAACAGGATAGCTAGGAACAGCTTCAAAGCATTCTCCATCACTGCATTCTGAGCTGCAACTGAAAGAGGTAACATGGTATAAATTTAAACACTGCTTTAAGGGAAAGACAACAAACACAAACATTCTGTGATTTCCTACTTTTTTATCAGCATTGGCCTCAATATAGGTTACTTCTTCTAGGGGAAATTAATTTTGTACTATTTTTAAATGTATTACAAGACAAGTACACTTGAAAAGCTGACTACAAAATCAGTTCCTAAGAAAGAATTCTGCCCATCCCACTTTGCAGAATGTTTTGTTCTTCCCCCTCCATATTTGCAGAGTACATTAAACAGCTCAGGAATATTAACCCAGATCCTCTATACACATCTTTCTCCAAGCACACAAAGAGAAAACACCAATAGTGACCCTGAGAACACTAACACTTGCCTGACAAACACTAAGCAATCTAGGCCTTAGCTCTCAGCCAAACAAAACTTAAAGTTCTCAAAACCTCTAAGTTATATACATATAATGGTCCTTTTTTTTTTTTTTTAATCATACAAATATAGGAATGAAATTTCACCTGTCATGTTTGTCAGATATGGAGATGTCTCCGTGGTGGTCTTCAGAGTCATTCTTAAAACTGCTATTGCCGAGATGTTGTTTTTGTTCTTGTGCTGCTGCATTTTTTCCTAGGTCTAATTCTTTGTTCTTTTGAGGACCCTTGTACTCTTTTGAGTGAAATAACATACCAGAACTCATTTTTTCTCTGATCTTTCTCAAATCATGCTCAGCATAGCCCTGAAGGGCTTCCATTGTCCTCCAAGAGCCACTTCCCTCTCCACCATCACTATGGAGAAGCTGCTGTGTTCTCATATGGTTTGCGGTATTTTCACTTCTTATTTTACGTCTCACTACTAGCTCATTAGCAGTTGGTAGAGGGCTTCTGATTCCAACACCCACCATATCTTGTATGTGTTGTGTTTCACAGCTGGCATCACTTGGGTTACTTTTTGGTATAGTTTGGCCTTCAGTAGAAGATTTAAATGTGCTGTTGTTCGCACATGCCAAGTCTGAACCTATGTTAAGATGTCTCATTAAAGATATTAATCCTCCTTCTTGGCAAAATTCTCTAGAAACACCGTGGCTGAGAGCAGACAATTGGGGCTCAAAGCCAGTGAAAGACTCTATTTCTTCATCATGCTCACTAACAGCATTATCTAGTGTTTCCTGAAATGTATCTGATTCTTCTGTTGCCAAAAATTTATCAATTTGAGCATCATCTTTCTCTCTACTCTTGCCATCTGACTTCTTAGAGTCAGAGTTTACGACATCAATTCCATTACTACCATTCACAACACAATGTCCTCCAGATGCATACTCTGCAAGCTCTTCAGAATCTTCATAAGGATTTCCTGAAATTTGGTTGCTTTCCAGACCAGAAGTTTGACTTGACACACTTTGACAAACGAGTTCTCCAGTTTCTGTGTTAATTGGCAAAGGCTCATCTAATAAACAAAAAGAAACTTCAACCAATGGACTCAGACCTTCATAGAAAGTTGTAAGAAAGAACGTATTGGAATAATTAAAAACAATAGAAATATTCTCATCTGCAACAACTGCTCATGAAAAATAAAGAATAGTTCATTAAGACTGCAGTGTAGCTTGATAGAGAGAAACATTCACTAAAGATGCAGTCATTTTTCACTAATATATTTACATGCTCATTTATAAAAACTAAACATATAGAAACAGACTTCAATGACACAATATCAGCTCAGCCTGTAATAAAAAAAGCCAAGTATTAAAGGAACATATTCACAAGCAGCATTTTTACATTGTTTATATAAAAAGGAATTTTAAGATGAGAACAAAAAATCTGAAGAAACACCAGAAGATTAAAAAAGGTACAACATTTCTTCCCGTAAATTAAAAAGTGGACTCTTCATTCATTAACAGGCTAAATTGTGCTTCCTGCCACACTCAGATAAAGTAATTTATTGCTACTGTAAATTACATACTAATAGCACTATATTTTGTACATGCAGCTGTGAGTGTAATTCCTCATAAAAAGAAAATAATAGCAGGCATGGATGTGGAATTACAGTTAGTACTTACAATCACTGCAAACTCAGTTTGATTATATTACACTTGCACACCTCTTGCATAAAGGGATAATAAATACCAAACCCAGCATCCAATCCACCCTCCTTGCTCAGGCAGAGTCACCTATAGTAGTTCACCGACGACTAACCCAGTCAGATTTCTATAATTTCCAAGGATATCCCTCTCCCTCACTCATCTTCCACAGTTGCTCAGATGTATATAAGATGTCACAACCTTAGCAAGGAATTATGTAGTATATTTTAGGTAGCACTTGTTTTTTGATGGGTGAGTATCGACTAGGGAAAAATGTAACCTAGTTGAAGTAAGGTAAATAAATCAATCAAAAACATTTCTCAAAGATAAATTTGTAAAGTTATAATACAAAAAGAAACACCATCTATCTAAAAGGAAATGCATTTTGTTATTAAACTGAATATAGAAAATTAGTCTGGGAACTTACATACAAAGCAATTGCATTAAGAACAAGGATATAACACATTCTAAACTGCCCATGTCTTAAGATCCCTAAAATAATAATACGCTCATTTCTGAGAAACCAAAAATGCTACTGTATAGGATCATAGAATCATTCATGTTGGAAAACTTATTTAATATCATCACATCCAACCATAACTGTAACACTTAAACCATGTCCCTAAGCACGACATCTACACATCTTTTAAATACCTCCATGGATGCTGAGTACACCATTTCCCTGGGCAGCCTGTCCTAGTGCTTGACAATCCTTTTGGTGAAGAAATTTTTCCTACTACGCAATATAAACCTCCCCTGGCACAACTTGAGGCTGTTTCCTCTTGTCATATTGCTTACTACTCAGGAGAAGAGACTGACTCCCACCTCATTATTTGTGCTCTAGACCCTTCACCAGCTTTGTTGCCCTTCTTTGGACTTGCTCCAACAGTGAGGGCCCCAAAACTGGACGCAGGATTTGAGGTGTGGCCTCACCACCCCACTTGGGCACACATCTGGCTTGTGTTCAGCCAACTGTTGCCCAGGTGCAGGACTCAGCACTTTGGATGATCTAAGGTTGTATCAAACTTGTCTTACTAGCAGAAAACCTCATACACTCAAGGAGATGGAGCTATGCTTCTAATCTAACAGGCTGGGTTTGGATTTCTCTACAAAATTATTATTCAGATCCTAAAGTCACAAAAGGCATTTGGGGAATCACAGAATCACAGAATGTTTGGGGTT